TGTGAAGAGGGCGCCACCAAATTTTGAGGACACTTTTTTAATTGGCTCAAAGAGAGAAGTGGCCCATCTTGTCTTGTACTATCATTGGGATAGATCACACGACGGCCTTGTGGTGTAGTCGGGGCTATTCAGAAGACAGTTACAGCACTGGGTTAAAACAAGGGCTACCCCAGATTTGTTTCCTTGGTCTAGAGGCACAAAACATTTTCATTAGTCTGTTTCCGTTGGAGCCGTGTCCGAATAGACACAGCGGTACAGGAGTTTTATCTTGAAAGACAGTGTCACAGTATCCAGCTTAAGAGGAAATTGAGTTATCGATTTCACCTGCTTAACTGAATGTACTGTCTTTTAGAATAAAACTCCTGAGTAGGCTAATAACAGAAATAGGTGCATTTATTTGGCGGTTAAACGCTTTGCCGTCACATACAGGTAGAAAAAAAAAGAAAGAAAAAAAAAAGAAAGAAAGAAAAAAAAGAAAGAAAGAAAGAAACTTTTCTGAGTAGGACCCCAGCAATTCTTCATCAATAATTGTGGAAAGTCCTTGAAATTTCACCTTATCTTTTATCTTTCTAGAAAACCTGGACCGAAAAATAAAAACAACGACAAAAACAATAAACAAACAAACAAAATCATGAGCGGTCTTAAACTCACTGAGCATTACGCGATAAAGGACGTGGCCGATGCTTACGACCAAAGACTAAATTTCTCTCAAGAAGTGTTTGACAAGATTCACGATTTCTGCGAGGCTAATGGCTCCGAGTTTCTGCTGGCTGTGGATGTGTGTTGTGGACCTGGCAACAGCACGGTACCCCTTGCCAAGTTTTTTCAAAAGGTTGTTGTTGTTGTTGGTGGTGGTGGTGTTGCTTTTGCTGTTGTTGCTGTTTCTGGCAAAAGACTTTGCATGGTTTTTATAAAATAATTTGCTGACGTTGCTGTCTATAGTGGGAATTTCATATTGTACTGTGAATTAATAATTGTGAGGCAGCGTGGTGGAATCAGGCTCTCGTCAATTTTTGGGCATGTAGAGTTATTGGTATCATCTTAAAGCTTGTTCACTTGTCTTTATTCGGATGGAAAAAAATATCCATTTATCTTGAATACAAGTCGAGATATTTACGAATGAAAGAGGTGGGGGTCATCTGTTTTCAGAGACAAAATTAGTGAGAAAATGGCCTCCAAAGATAAGTTATTTCCTTAACTTTAGAGTCCGTGATAACTGAAAATTTACTTTTTGTGTGCCTTTAATCAACATTTTAAAGAAAAACCCACACAGAAATGAGTTTTTTTATGGGCATGAAATGTGTAGAGCCAAAACAAAAAAATTTAATAAAAATTCACAAACTTGCGAAAAATGCAAGTTTCTTCATTTTGATTATTTTGACGAGAGCCTGATTCCACCACGCTGCCTCACAATTATTTAATTGGTTGCTTTGAAGCACTAGCTGGCTATCCCGAAAAATGGTGTTTTGAGAAATTCGAAGGTAAAAATGTTGTCCCTTGTTCAGTTTCTTTAAAATACAGATAATGGTTACTCTGTAACCAAACAAATATACGCACCAATGAAACCAAACTTCTCCTATAGATAGTGCAATGCCCATTTTGAGTGTAGGTCAAGATTTCTAGAAACCCCCGAAATCTGGGTTGGCTCACTTGTCCTTAAAAGCGACCAGTTATTGAGCGTATCAAAATGAGCAATCTGTAGGCTAGGTTATTGTTAGAGATTTATTGTAGTTACCATGTATTGGGACTGAAAGGGTCCAAATAAAGAAACGTTTTTATGACTGGATCAAGATTTATTTTTATAAATTGGCTCGCTCGCTGGCCAACGGAAGTGCAATACAAAGTGACGTGCGCATTGACATCATTGAGTCAGTTTTATCCCCCGGGGCGGTGCTGTTGACTGAAGTGTCTTTTGGTCATTCCCAAAGGGGGGGGGGGGCATTAACATGTTCTTAAGCACAGTAGAATTGTAAGTGGGCTGATTCATCAATGGCATGCTCATAACTGTGCCTGAAATGCAACAGGGAGCTGCTGCTTTTCTTTCCTAATTCTTACTATGGTCATTTTTCTTCTCCATTTTTTTCTATGTTTGTCACACTCTTGTGACCCGTTATTTCCGGGGTGCCTTGATAGACGAAGCAGACTTGTGTGCTGTTGAAGCTAGAGAGGTGAGCAGAGTAACCTGATTCCCTGTAAGGACTTCTCTGTTGACATTCACCCCTTGGCGCTCATATGACCGTATGCAGCTGCGAGCGCCGTAAAAACCTCTACTAAAACAAACAAACAAAGAGTCGGTTTGGGTGACTGTGTTTTAAATATTGGAGGGGAAAAAACCCAAAATATATCTAAACAAAACACGCCTGCTTTAATTTTCAGGTGATAGGCTTCGACGTGAGCGAAGAGCAGTTGGCGCATGCACCCAAAAATCTGCCGAATGTGCAGTTCCAGGTGGCTAACGCAAATGACATGTCTTTCCTGGAATCCAACTCTGTTGACCTGGTTACTGTTGCCATGGCTCTTCATTGGCTGGATCTTGAGAGGTGAATTTGTTTGTCTGCTTTTTTGTATATTTACGCTCATAAGCGAGGGATTTGTTTCTGTTTATGTCTCTGTCTCAGTTTCTGTGATTCTGTTTCTGTTGCTGTCTTTCTGTCTGTCTGTCTATCTGCCTTCGTCTCTATTTCTGTCTCTGTCTGTCTGTCTTTGTTTGACTATCTGTTTGTATATCTATCTGTCTGTCTGTCTCTGTCTCTGTCTCTGTCTCTGTCTCTGTCTCTGTCTCTGTCTCTTTCTCTCTCTCTTTCTCTCTCTCTCTCTCTCTCTCTCTCTCTCTCTCTCTCTCTCTCTCTCTCTCTCTCTCTCTCTCTCTCTCTCTCTCTCTCTCTCTCTCTCTCTCTCTCTCTCTCTCTCTCTTTATATAGATATATATATATATATATATATATATATATATATATATATATATATATATATATAATATATGCATCTGTCTACACAGTACATGTATTCCCAAATTAGTATTTCCACTGTACTGCTGTTACTTGTTGAGCTCCTTATACGCACACGTGCGCACACACGTCACGCATACACGCACCATAGATTGTGGAGTTTACAAGCTCTCCTTTTTTTCTTTGTATGTTACTCTCTAACAACACTTATAATCATCGGCTTTTATGTGACTTATTTGTTTTGCAAGTGCTGTAAAACTCTTACTAAAACTAGCTAAACTAAACCCATACATTTGAGTGCTGTTAGCCCAGTTAATGTTGTGTTGGATCATAGTGCGGATTGCCCCTTTACCTTTTCAAGGATACGTTAATGTTAGCGAAAGGGGTACAGAGAGTTGGATTTATATATATATATATATATATATATATATATATATATATATATATATATATATATATATATATATATAGTGGCGTCTGTGGCCTAGTAGTTAGGCTCCCTGACTCGTAACCGTAAGGTAATGCGAGTTTGAATCCCGTCAGGGTAACGATTTTGTGTCCTCAGGAAAGGCACTTTACACAGGTGTTCCTCACTTCACCCAGGTGGGAATGGGAACCCGGCTACAAGCAGTGAAATATCTAGTCAGTTTGTTAGTGTTTGAGCGAGTACAATCCGCAGAAGCCGAGAATGTTTCTAAGTGTTCTAGGGTCTGCTGGGGTAATAGTAGTTGTAAAGCGCACAGGACATACTACAGAGTGTGGATATGCGCTATATAAATGAAGTTCTTCTTCTTCTCACTATAACTATTATCACCATTATCGTAGTCAATATTATTATTATCAATATCATTATCTTAATTGTTATTACTATTACTACTACTACTACTACTACTACTACTACTACTACTACTACTACTACTACTACTACTACTACTACTAACTACTACTACTACTACTACTACTACTACTACTACTACTACTACTACTACTACTACTACTACTACTACTACTACTACTACTACTACTACTATTATTATTATAATTATAATTATCATTATAATTATAATAATAATTATTATTTTTTAAATATTATTATTATTATCATTATTATTATTATTATTTTTATCATTATATAATTCTAATTCAGGTTCTACCGAGAAGTGGATCGTGTCCTGAAGCCTGGCGGTGTTCTCATAATTTATAACTACAGCTATTATGTCCGCCTCTCCCCGCCCCAGGCTCAGAAAGTTCATGAACACGTAAGTTCTTAAGCATCCCCAACACCTCTTGGTCTGTCCCTCTGACTGTCTGGCTGTTTGTCTGTCTGTCGTATGTGTGTCGTTTTCTCTGTCTGTCTGTCTGTCGTATGTGTGTCCGTTTTCTCTTTCCGTCTTTGTGTTGTAAGTGTGTCTGTCTGTCTGTCTGTCTGTCTGTCTGTCTGTCTGTCTGTCTGTCTGTCTGTCAATCTGTCTGTCTACCTGCTTGTGTGTTTGTCTGTCTGTGTGTATGTCTGTGTTCTTCTTTCGTACGCGTATCTTTCTTTTTGTCTGTCCATCCTCACATCACCCAGTCTGTCTACCTGTCAGTCTGTCTGTCAGTCTGTCTGTCAGTCTGTCTGTCTGTCTGTCTGTCTGTCTGTCTGTCTGTCTGTCTGTCTGTCTGTCTCTCGTCTATCCGAGAACTTCATAGGATGACATTGATACAGTAATGCTAAAATGTTACATGCATGTATTTCCCAACAACCTATGAAAAGCCACAACGATTAATAATATCACATTAATAATCACCACTGTGACGCCAACAGACGTGTGCTGACGCCATGCTGAAATCTTCTGACACCAGGACGAGTTGTGCAGGGGCAGGCATAAACTTTTTTTTTTAATTCCTTATAATAATGAAATAATAACAATAATGATAATAATGATGATAACAACAACAACAACAACAACAAAAACAACAACACATCACCTCCGTTTTGCTCATTTCCACAGGGGTAGTACTCAATGCGCTTTACAATAATGTAGAAAACATTGACCACCATCAGACATTTTTCTTACAACCCTGACAAGTTTAATTAAAAGTAAATGTTGTACAATTGAAGTCCTTTGTCTGCAATTTTACAAGCAACTTAACACACAACCGACTCCAACGATGCACAGTTGTGGTTTCAGGTGCTTAAAAACAGCATTCCATTTTTGTCATCAAACTTAATTTAGTTTTTATGTTGGTTGTTATACTCTCAGGGTTTGGATGAAATCCATTTATCAAAATGTATACGTAGCTGTAACGACCAACAGATCATTCTTTTTACCACCTTGACAAGCAACGTTGTAAATATTAGACATTACATTTCTATAGTCAGTTGTTATCTTCGTTGTTACATTCTCAGTATAGATAGAATCCATTTTTAAAGTGTATGACTAGCTGTAACGACCAACAGAACGTTCTTTTTACAACCATGGTCTTCAATTCTACAAGCTACTTTGTACATGTTAGACTCTAAAGAAGCATAGTTCTGATTCAACCAAACGTCCCAACATACAAGAAGCCTTTATTTTACCTACTTGCAGTACAGTGGTCTGGTCTTGGATCGATACTACGAGAGCTACATGGATAATGTTCGGGACGATTACCGTCGGATCGCGCTGCCCTACCCTGGCTGGAAGAGGTACGTTCTTTAATGGGATTTTTTCTTTGCTGTTGTTGTTGTTGTTGTAGTTGTTATTGTTGTTGTTGTTGTTGTTGCCGTTGTTGGTGTTGTTGTTGCTGTTTCAACTACTGCTGCTGCTGTTATTGCTGCTGCTACTGCTGTTGCTTCTGCTGTTGCTGATGATGATGATGATGATGATGATGATGATGATGATGATGATGATGATGATGATGATGATGATGATGATGATGATGGGCTTCTTTTTACTCAAGTTCTCAAACTTAAACTATTTCTGGCAATCCATTTCGTAGGAATGATGACCTGAATTTGGAGAGAGAATTTACCTTGGATGGCTACCTTGGCTACTTAAACTCCATCTCCCTTTACGACCGGTATTCGAAAGAGCAGAATAACACCGACTTTATGGCGGATATTTACAAGGCGTGAGTACAAATCATTATTTTTTTCTCTGTCTTTCTTCTACCCCCCCCCCCCCTTCCACACCCCGCCCCAGACCAACTATGATTATACTCCAATGCAGATGAACAGACAGACAAACACACGCACACCCATACATACAGACAAACAGACACACAGACAGACACACAGACAGACACACAGACACGGACAGGCAGAAACTATCAGCACTGTTGAAGACTTTTCTTCTTCTTCTTCGGGGCATCGCTATTAGAGTAGTGGTCCTTCGTGTATTATAATGTAAAATTTATTGAGTGTATTCGGCTCTGTGACTGATCCGCTTTTTTCCCCTCCTTCTTATAATACCGACATATAATGTGCAGCGGTTAGGGGTTTCGCTGTCTATGGAGAAGACCCGAGGGGAGAATTTTCATCGAGCATCCAGATCCCAGTCATTCTGCTGGGGTGTTGTATCCCTTTCCAAGAAGGACAACTTTGTTTTTATTAATTATCTACTCACAGTGAACTTCATTCAATGTTATCTATAGGCCCACCCCCTAATTTACAAGTGTATCTAAATAGTGTCGCTACCCGGGGAGGGGGGGGGCATTTAAACTTAACATTATCTGATAATATTCAGCTCTGTGACTGATCCTCTTATTTTCTTTTTCTTTCAATAGAATGGAGCAAGCACTTCGTGAGGCTGGCATGACGTCTAAAGACTCGTTGATCAAAGCCTCATGGCCTCTTTTCATGTTGATGGGACAAAAGCCGCGCACATAATACATTTACTATATTAGTGATCTATCTCATCGAACCCCTTAAAATGACAGAGTTCTACCTCCATGATGCGTAATTTTGAGGAAATGAGACTCAAAGATTCACACAAGTGCTGGTACATTTTACTTGGTAAAGCGTCAAAGTGAAAAAAACCCAGACTGCTTTGAACTTCTAACACAGCATATCTGCGTCAGTATATGTAGTGTGTGTGTGTGTGTGTGTGTGTGTGTGTGTGTGTGTGTGTGTTTGATAGAGTCTCTAATTTTTTTTCTTCACTGTTTCTTCAATCTCGCTAAAACAAAAGAGTGGATGGTTGACCGTTGCTCTTGTGTGGTTTACTCCTTCTTTCCTTTCAAATATAATAATATATCGTCCTTATCTCTCCTCCTTCTTTATTGTGTTTGTTACTCCCTTGAAACATCTCCGATCTTCAATGCACGTATATGGCCTGTTTGTAATGCACGTGCCGTAAAAAAAAGTATACTAAAACGAAAACCAAAATGTGTAGATAAACTGAAAAAAGCCTGTCGATTAAAGCGGTCTCCATTGCATGTTCTTTTTGAAAATTCTTGTAAAATAAAGAAAGAAAGCTGAAATATGCATTATTTACTGAAATATGTGTGATTTATTTTTGTTTTCGGGGCAAGTTGGAATAGAAAAGTGTAATCAGCTGAGTTGTTAGGGAAATAATCGTTTCATGATGTATGATATAGATCAAGTCATCTGTATAGAAAGATTAAATAAAGTGAATTGCTGTTGTATGCGTACCCAGTTCGGCTATTATATTGTAGTATAGAATAGTGTTGATAGAGGCGTTAAACATATACTATTTTTGTTGTAGCATAGAAAATTTGGAACATATTGATCACATAAAAATACTTGGAAAAGGGGGAGGGGGTGGGGGAGGACGTAGACTCTGACCTAAAGGAGAGGCGATACAGCTAGACAGAGACTGTAGCCTAGGTCAGAAATACATGGAGAGCTTTTTTATTTGGTGACTAATACTCCAGCATAGGTTGAGAAACACTGATGATGATGATGAGGAGGAGGAGGAGGGGGAGGAGGAGGAGGAGGAGGAGGAGGAGGGGGAGGATGAGGAGGGGGAGGACGAGGAGGAGGAGGAGGAGGAGGAGGAGGAGGAGGAGGAGGAGGAGGAAGATGATGATGATGATTTTTTGTTGTTTCCTTAATGGGCCTGGTGGGCTCCACGGAGAAGTCTTCGAGCGAGAGCCATGCTCTTTTTCGGCTCCATTGTCAATATGCTTAGCGGCACCTCCACTCGTCCAAATAATTCCATTCAAATTGCCATTGTTCCTGGACATTTAAATATGTTTGACATCCTCCTTTTCATGGCCGCATCTTCGGCAACCTGGGCTGAGCTCTTCATTTACAAAGTTTTTATACCATCTTAAGCTCCAATGATGGTCCGACCGCAGTCTCGCTAGCTCTACCTGGTCCCAGCGACATGTGATATTTTGTTCCCGCCTGTAGGAGTACCCAGAATACACATCTTCCAGGAGTACTCAAAGTGGCAAGCCGTCCCCTTCACGATGGGGAGTACCGTTCTCAACGAAGACAGCCACAACCAACGGGGAAGCTCTGATGATGATGATGGTGATGATGATGATGATGATGATGATGATGATGATGATGATGATGATGATGATGTTTTCAGTTGACAAGAAAAGTGTGGCATGTACACCTTGTTTATCTGTCCTGAAAAGTTTAGATACAGTTGTATATATTTCATTGTAAAAGGTTATAAATAAATTGTTAATGTTTTACGACACAGACGCACTGTTAACTCGAGACAGGATTTTGATTCTCGGTATGGGAAATAATCTTATTGAGTAGCTACGTGCGTTTTCGTCGGTCTCCAAAATGATCGAAATAGTGTGAATGGTGTATTAGTAATGTAAGTGTATGGCTTTTAACCCCCCCCCCCCCCCCCCCAATCATTATTATTAGGTTATTTAAAAGCTGGACCTCTGAATAAAACCCTCTCTCCGAGAGAACGTGCCAACTGGGTTGAGAGCCTTGAAAACTCCACAAAACGATCAGATGTTAATAAGGACATCCAGTCTGGCATTTCGAACCAGGACTACCTGCTTAACTCATTCGCTACGCCTGGCCGTGGGCAGCGCGTGGCCAAAGCGTCTTCCGTACCGTACGCCAAGCCGCCCCCGACGGATCGAGTACCGACCTATAATTGTAGCTAAGATTTTATTCCAATCCACGTATCCATGTTGAAATAAAGGTTATAATCAAAGGTATAATCAAGGAGCTTAAAACAACTTCAACCTCCTTAGTCTAAATCTAAATTGCCAAAATGTTTTTTTCTCCCCAAAATCACTACTTTTTGGTGAAATTGCACAAAAAGTGCCATTCAAGACATGTACAGGTTTATTCCAAATGCAAGTCTGAATAATTCCTTATAAGATACAAGTGGGTTTTTTCTGTTTGTGATCCTTTTTTCAAGATTATAATAATTTTTTTTCAATATCGGATGTTTGAGATCCAAATTGCAAATATTATGGAATGTATGTAAATAACTGCACATTTTTAAAAATATTTTCCAGTTATGGTTATTTTGATGTACCTTTGGACTAGGTGAAAACGTTTTTTTTTTTTTGGAGTTTCGCCAAAGATTATTAATTTTTTTTCCTTCAAATTTTATCCGCATCAAATCAAAATTGTGTTGCATAATCGCATCTTACAGGAACCAAAGTTGAAAATTACACAAATAAACATTACAGATGTATTGGACAAACCATACTGAAAATTTAGGTAAATAGCATGTTGATATATATATATATTTGAATTTGTGGCCCCAAAGACCTTTGAACGGCGCACTAGTCACTATCTCATTTCGCCCTCCCGAAAAAAAAATTCATCCACAAGCCGAAAATAATAGGTAGCGAATGAGTTAACGTCTTAGATTTCATTACTCTGCAAGGCGCCGTGTTTCACCACGATACTTCACGTTTTTAGTCACGCCTCAGTTACCATCTATACATACAGTCCTGCTGCTCAGAATGCATAATATAATATTATTGCAAGCTGAGGATTACGCGCGCTATAACCTTTTTAAAAAAAAACAACTGACAATGTTTTTTGCCGTCTATATCCGGGTAAGGTACCCATTCACACCTATGCAACGATGAGGAGAATTCGTGTCAAGTGCCTTTCCCAAGGACACAGCGTCACGTTTCTACTGGAATTCGAATTTCCATTTAAAAGAGAGCCCGAGAACCTTAGGACCACAAGACCGTCTACTGTTGACAGTTACAGTTACAGAAAGTGACGCAAGCCGGCTTTTCGTGCCACATGACCTCCTTTTTTTTCCCTAATCCGTAGAAAGTTGTCACGCTTTTCGACTGTGTTGGTGGTTTATAGTTGGAAGGCTGTTGAGCTCGCAACCGAAAGGTCGTGGTTTTGATTTTGATTTTGATATAAATGTATTTCTTTTGTTG